TTTTTAATGTTTTATGAGAACGTTCTAGAAAAGCGTTGCTTTGTGGATGCCACGGTGTAGTTTTAGATTTTTTTATATCCAACAGTTTGCACATGCTTTTGAATACATCGGATAAAAAATTAGTTCCACATTCAGTCAAAATTGACTCTGGTATACCGTATATACAAACGAAACATTCTACGAACGCCTGAGCTACCGTTTGTGCGTCTGTGGCGGATAACGCTATTGCTAGCGAGAAACGACTTAGTTCGTCTTGTAGAGTTAAAATGTACATGTTTCCTGTCAGTGTTTTCGCTAAGGGTCCTACTATATCTAGGCAAACCCTTTCGAATGGTTTAACTACCGTGCGAGTAATTAACATTGGTTGCTTCGTTTTTACGTGCGATTTATTTTTCTGACATAATTCGCAATGTTTAATATAATATTTTACGTCTTTTTTCATGTGACGCCAGTTATAATTAAGTTTTAATCTTTTTACGGTACGTGATACTCCAGAATGTCCACCCAATGGTGAATTGTGGTGTTCATAAATGATTTGTTGTTTTTCTTCTGACGTTAATTGCTGACCTACATATATTTTTACTACGATGTCGGTTGCTTTGAAAATGTGTCGAAACATCGTGCGAATACGCGGATAACCGGTTAGTGAGGTAGGTCCGTCTAATTTATTGGTAGAGAATGCATTTATTTTATTCGAAATGCAAAATGTTTTTATATCGTTTATAGCTAAGTAAATGACCTCGGCGTTAAGTGGTGTTGTATGAGTTGGCTTTAGACCATAAAATACGAGTAAATTCGGTTCACTGTCGATAGTGTAAAACTTGTTTGTATCCGAAAACTGGATTTTGTTTAAATCTATGTTTTTTATTACTTCACGCACTGCCGGGTTTGTTATAATTTTATCCTCAGGAATCATTATTATTACGTTTTCTCTTTCTATGGCCTTGACTAGGTCATCGTCGACTTCTATCATTTTCGAATTAAATATGGGTTTGCTTTCCGCAGCTCGGAACGTGTCGAAGTCGGCGGTCATACTAGTTGGACCGGGTTGTATCATACGAATTCGTGACAGGCAATCTGCGTTCGAGTGTTCGGGTCCGGCCCTGTACGTAATATAACCGTAATCGGCTAGTTGTAAGCGCCAGCGCATTAACTGCGATGACGCGTCCTTAATACCAAACAGGTATGTTAACGGTCTGTGATCGGTTATAATATTAAAATGTCGACCATATAAATATGGTCGGAAATATTTCACGGCCCAGACGATGGCTAATAATTCTTTCTGAATAACGCTATAGTTACACTCGGCTTTATTTAATGTTCTACTCGCATAAGCGATAGGCTGATCTTTAGGGACTTCCCCTTGTGATAAGACTGCTCCTATTGCATATTGGCTTGCGTCTGTCATTAAGTTGAACTTTCCCGCTTCCCAGTCCGGATAGACCAGTAATGGTGGGTTCATTAAAGCTTTTTTCAGTTCTTCGAAACTATGTTCGCAATTATCAGTCCATTCGAATGGTACGTCTTTTTTAAGTAAGTAAGTTAATGGTTTTGCGATTTTCGCAAAGTTATCGACGAAACGTCTATAATAGTTTAGTAATCCCAAAAACGATTTAATATCTTTTGCGTTTTTTGGTCGAGGGTATTCTCTGATACATTTTAATTTGTTTGGGTCCGGGGAGACTCCCGTTTCGTTTATTACGTGTCCTAAGTACAATACTTCTTTCCGTAAGAAAGAACATTTATTAGGCTGTAATTTGAGTTTGTGTACGCGCAACCGATTGAATACCTGTTCTAATTTCTTTTGGTGGTCCTTTAAACTGGATCCATGTACTACAATATCGTCAAGATAAGGAGTGCACATTTCCTCAAGGCCCATAAGTACAGATTTCATTGCGCGTGTGAACGTAGCTGGAGCTGAGCTCAGCCCGAAGGGCATGCGTAAAAATTCGTAGTGACCGGGTTTCGTAGAAAAAGCTGTTTTATGTGTGTCAGCCGGGTCTATATGTATTTGATGATAACCGGACGCCTAATCTAATGTACTGAAATATTTGGATGATCCTAGAGATTCTAATATTTCTAGTAAATTTGGCAGGCCATAAGCTTCGTTCTCGGTTACTTCGTTAAGTTTTCTGAAATCTACGCATACTCGTAATTTGGGTTTCCCTGTCGGATCTAAATTTTTCTTCTTCACTACTACTAGTGGAAAATTAAAAGGTGATTTAGAATCGCGTATAATATTGTTATGTTTCATTTCTTTAATTTGTTTTTCGATTTCTTCTTGGTACGCCCAAGGTAAACGATACGGTCGTATATTAATGGGTTCGCGTGTTTATAGTGTGTGCCACGATTTCCGTGGCGCTTAAATAGTCGCCCGGAAGGTAAAACAGGTCTGCGTAATTACAGCATAGTTCAAGGATACTTTCGCTTTCCTCTTTATTTAAATCGTCGGTCTTAATTTCGCGTTTGATCTGTGTTATACGGTCGGTTTTTTTTTCATCTGCGAACGATGCAGTTAATACATTTTCGGTATACGGCTCCCACTCGATATGCTGCGTGGTAAGCTCGTCTATTACGAAAGGTTCTTCCGAAATATTTATTACGTTACTAATAATGTTATTTTTATTGACCGGACTTATGCTGTTCGCGATTATCACGTTTTCGTTTACGTCTTGTTTTTTAATAGTAATATTCTCGTGACTTATATTTTCGTCGTTTTTTATAAGTAGTACACAATTGCTACGCGGCGGTAGTATAATTTCTTTGAAACCAGTTTTTTCGGGTATCGTTAATAAATTTCGGCTATAGTCCATTATGACTTTGATTTGTTTCAAAAAGTTACGCCCGATGATGCCTGACTCGTTTATTGGGAAATCGCCAAAAACGACGTCGAATTTAATAAGCACCTCTACATCGTTAATTTCCATACTGGTTAGAATTGTGCCTACGGTGAATATCGGAATTTCGTTAGTGCCTTTAATTGTGCGTTTCGCGGATTCGTTTACCACGACGTGTCCCTCTAACGCGGTTATTTTAATAAGGTTCATTTCCGCGCCGGAATCAACTAATAATTTAATTTTATGAGGTTTGAAATTATCCGATGCACATATTATATGTTCCTCTTCGAAATTAGCTACAACTCTTACATGATTTTGGTTGATTTCGTTTACTGTACGGCTGGTACTAGGAATTTCACTTTCCTTGTTACTCGTTTTTTTACTCTCGTTATAAATACGCTTCCTACAATCTTTTATATTGTGGTTTGTTTTCTTACAGTACGAGCAGAATCTAACTTGACCTTGGTATTCGTGTTTTACTACACTGGTTTTATCGTCACGACTGCTAACGGGATTTCTAAAATTTGTGCTGTATGAGGTACCGGCGTTACTGCGGCACTCGTTTGCATAGTGACCCATTTTGCTGCATTTATTACACTTAATATTTTTTTTATTCGCGTTATTTTTCCCGTAAGTTTTTTCTGAATTAAAACGTCTATTAATGTGTTGGAGGTCTTGTTCCTCCTCAATAGCGATAGTAATGGCTTGCTCGAGAGATGATACGGCGCGTGCTCGTAAAAATGACCTAATTGCTGGTTTCGCCCCGTTAACAAATGCAGTAAGTGCCCCTACTTTATGCGATGAAGCTACAGCTGCGGCTGCTGCTGGTTCTAGTCCTAATGTTGACGCTCCTACCAATTCGTGATAACATTTTTCGGTTCGACCGGCAAAACTACGTACGTCCTCGTCGGATCGTTGTCGACTATTACTAAGTTGCGATTGCAAGTAATTAATCGAATGCGGTGCCCCAAAAACGTTTCTAAGGTGGTTTTTAAGCTCTGACCAGTTTTCAAATTTTCGGTAACGAGTGGCCTGGTATGGGTCTCCCTTTAATTTAGATAATATATTGTGAAATACTACGGTTACAAGATTTTCATGGATATTTTCCATTACATAGTTACATTCGGTTATATATGAGGCTAGTTCTACCTCGGAACCCCCGCTAAAGTTAGGTATGCCGCGCAAGGCGGAGTCAATTCCTAATGTTACGCTCATGACTGTCGTTTGTAAAGTTTGCGGGTTATATTTAACTACTGCCCAACACATTGGACTCTCAGACATATACTATATAATTGTTTAAAATGACAACTTACAGTGCAAAATTCATTGTATTCTTGTCTGGTCCTAACTGCTTGCGTGCTGACGGCTCTGTGGACTCGTCGTTGATGCTCCGCTTGGCTAGTTGAGTGAAGTTGGAATGTTGATTGAAGTTGGTGGCTTATCTCGGCTTGCTTCCTTCCTAGGTAACAGCAACGTGAATAAACTCGAGGTCCGCTGATGTACTTGACTCCAGGTTGGTTGCTTGAATTCTTCCTTCAGGTGACCCCACACCAGACACCAAAAAACGTGTAGTGATCCCTCACTAACGCTTATATTTTGAGTTTGACGACGTTGATGATTGAGTAGGAGAAAAGGTTGCAGAGTTACAAGTTACAATGTTATAATTTAAGTAATTTATTTTAAAGTTAATAATAATATAATGGTATTACATTTGAATATAGAAATTTGAGGACAGAGCGATAAGCGTCTGCCCGAGAGATTAGTGGTTAATACTAAGTACTTACAAGTATGTACGTCGTACTAGCACTGAACTAATGCTAATTTAGATACAGACGGAGACTCGTATATATACAAAGTCTCCCTAGGTTATTAGGTACACGGTAGAGACTCGGAGGTGGATCAAAGGAATACCGGCGGTATGAAAGGTACCGGCGTAAATGTTAAAAGTTGTCGAATAAACCTTGAGTTGTGAACTGGTTTATTTGGCAATATGTATTATTAGAAATCGTTATGCGATTTTTAAATATGTAATAAATCCTCAGGGCGTGGTATAGTCGTTGATCAATATATCATATAGTGCAAAGTCCTTATGATGTATAATTATAGGAAAGCGACTCTGTCGGTTTACTACACTGGGAACTGTCATAAATCCAATACAGATTGATGAGGAAAGATTTGCCGGAAAAAGGAAATATAATCGTGGAAGGTTACTTAATGGCGATCAACCCGCTTCATCAGAAGACAGTGATGCTGAAATACACAACGGTAGAAAACCATGGACGAAGAGTTGATGGACCTTGGGTTTTTGGGCTTAAAAATGGTTCTGACTGCCGATATTTGTATGTTCTTCGAAGAGACAAAAACAGATTACTACCAATTATTCTACGAGAGTGTGAAGCTAGCTCTGTTATTCATTCAGACGAGTGGGCAGCCTATAGATGTTTGAAAGATAATGGATATATTCATAACACTGTTAACCACCAGCAAAACTACGTTGATCCTTTGACGAAAGCTCACACTCAGAGCATAGAGAGATCATGGTTGGATGCAAAAACAAAAATCATGAAAACGATGAGAGGCACAACCATGCAACTTTTGCAATCGCATCTCGACCACTATTGTTGGAAAGTTGCTAGGAAAGAAGAACCTGATTTATTTATTGCATTTTTGAGGGATATTAAAGCAGTTTATCGTTAAGGTTTTTATAATTAAAATTATTTTTAATATTTTTTTACATAATTTTTAATTTTCTTAGTAATATTTTTTTGCTTTTTTTAAAATTATTTTTGACTTCTGACATTGCGTATTGTATTATTTATTTACATATCATTATTTTTAATGATTTTTACTAATATACTAATAATTAAAATATTTGATTATTATTTTAATTTGGTTATTTATTTACATACTACTATTACTATTTACTGCATATTATAGGTGTGCGGTCTACAAAATATGTAGACCGCATATCTGAGCAGAAAAATGTCGGTAGACCGCATATCAGAGCAGCACCAAGAAATGTATATATTAGATAAGTAACTATATTGATATTAAAATGCAAAATGTGTATTATACCTAACATATTCAAATTATAATACAAAAAATAATGAAAAATCCACAAGCTATCACAACCAGTATAATATTACCAATATAAAAATTAAGTTTGAAAGTAAAATTAATAATTAATTAAAGGTAGCTAGGTAAAATGTATAGTTAAGTAATAAGTAATTTTGTATTTTCCATTTTTGATGGGAATATATTTTTAATTAAATAAAAATACCTTTAACAGGGATAAAACGAGGTGGACAACTGTCACTTAGATGAGGTTTACACTGGTCTTTGGCAGTTTTTATATGTTTGGTGATAAACTTGGATATTTTATCTTCTTTCGATGCCTCATATTAACCATTTCATCTTCAGTACTTGAAAATTCAGACTTATGTGTAGCTTTAGTTAATTTATTTCGAGCCTCAAGAAAAGAAACAGTAAAAAAGTTAAAATATACAAATTATTTTACTGAAAAATACACATTCTACATTTAATTAAATTGGTAAAACATAACATAAGTTTTATTTCCAAGTTTTCTTGCTGGATAAAATTTAAATCGTCAGGATTTGGTTTTATTTGTTTTTTTTATATATTTTTTGAATTTCTTGTATTTTTAGGCCACACACAAGAATGTTTGCGTAGCCAAGTTGACGGTACAGCTTCTACACTATTATCATTTTTAAATAACACAATATCCCAGCCAGGCATCTGTAATTGTAGTGTTTAGTATATACCAATAAAAATGTATATTATACAATCAACAATCATATATAAATTGAAATACCTATATACATAATATAATAAAAATAAGTACAAATATATACACACAATAAAATAAATAGTTTAATTTAATTTTAATTCTGATCAGTGTGTATGATGGGAATAGCAATCAATTTTGTATTTTGTTGGAATACCATCATTTTTTTTTTTATTTGAGATACTGACCAATACTTCATTCTTTTAGATATGTTATTTATTTCAAATATGTCTAATATTGATGAATTTATAGGATCATCAAATAATGGATCTAACTCTTCAAAATATTTTCCAATTAGTATACATGTCCTATGTCATTCTGTACAATATTTAGACATTTTACAATTTCATTATTTGTAGTAAGAAAATAACTGTCTTTTTCTTTTTTTAAACTTAATGATATGCTTTTAAATAAAAATGTATAATATTGAGACCCAGATATGTTTTTAATTAATGAACCATTTGTATGTTCATTTCTTAATATTGGCTGATCAAAATATGGAAGCTCTATATAATTATCATTTTCTTGTTTAGAGTTATATTTTCATAATAACGGTTTAAAACTTGTTGTAGAGGTTTTTCACTTTTCCTCAAAAATAATTTAAGTTCCTTCATATAATTTTCAAAACAGAAGGCAGAACAATTGTCCAATGGCCCATAGTTTTGATAATCATCACTAAGATGTAATAAATTGTGGATGTTAAATTGTGGTATGTAATATATTGTGAACATCATACATTTTTTGAAAACTTTTTACAAAAAAATTAAGTAATTCCCTTGCATAGTTCAAAATATGATTATTATTCGGGCCAAGAAGTATTAGCATGGCAAAGTTCAATGCCATAAAATTTGCATAGCACTCATCAGTTATTATATGCTTTAAGACTATAGGCCCTGTATATAGTAGAAATAAACGGAACTCTGTTGCTTTCCATCTGCGCATTTCAAAAACACTTCTAGACTTTCTAGCAAAGTCTGTTGTAATATAAGAATTTAAATTTAATACATTTGATGAAAGCTCATGAGTTTTTCTTGATCTTACACAAACGTTTAAGGGATCTTTACTAAACTTAAGAATCATGAGCTTTTTAGTAACATCAAGGCACACAAGATGCATATAATCAGTGCTAAACATATTAACAGAATTAAATCCATCAATTTGTGTTAAAATGAAAATTTGGTTTGTAATATGATAATCTTCGTCATACATTTGCAGATAGTGTTTATGTGTTCTTTTTGTTGAATGGTTTTCTAAATAAAGAAATGCAACTCTATTACTAATATACTCTCCTTCAATGGTACATCGAGTACATGAAGAACCTGCATGACTTTTAATTTTTAGCACATATGATTTAGCCGGTGCTTCACATGTAAATAATTTGATTGAAACTTAAATATTAGTATTGTTTAAAACTATACCATTATTTATAAAATTATTGTCATCTTGAACAAAATCTATTAGAAAATCGTTACTATCATGAGGTTTTTCAGTTCCTTAATATAAGCCAACAGGAAAAACCATTTTCATTGGAATATTCATTATGTATGCAAGAATATTCCAGAATTGAGCCCCACTACTTTTGGACAATGGTAACCCATCAATACCTATAGCAATTTCGATACTACATGGATTTGTTGGTGCTTATTTCCTAATTCCAATCCAAAGTGGTAGTAAATTCCAGGATGTACAGTTCTGATTTCTTTTGATTTTTGAGTTGGGGTAACAAATAGTGTTCTACTGTCAACCGGAAAATGTTTAAAACATTTATGATTCTTCAAGCAACTTAACAAGCTATTAACAACATTATGTTTAATATTAAATTGAATTGCCCAGTGGCATATTTGATCTTCCATAGAAATAAAGTTTGAACTAGATACTGAATTTGAAAAGGGTGTAGTTTCATTTAATATTGAATCTTTGATGGATTCTTCTAAATTGAATGGTTTAATCCCAACTACAACTGATGGTTGAGATCGATTAACAAATTCAAACAAGGAGCAAGATTCATCTTGACTTAAGACAATATTATATTCAAAAGGAATTAAAGGATGAGTTAAATCTTCATTTTTATCCAATACAGCTGGTTCAACAATATCATCTTCTTTATTTAAAAACTTTGAATGTAATGTACAAAGTGTATTTAGTTAATTTTTAATTTTTCTGCGTTTAGAACGTCCACTTCGAATCATTATATAAGCTACAAAATGAATTTTTAAATAAAATTAAATAAAGAAACTCATGTTATTAGTATTATTACTTATTACTAACTGAAATTAAAATTAATTTAAACAATTGAGTGGGTAAGTAATTTAGTTAGTTTATTTTGAACTATTTATTGTTATCTTGATTTTTTTTTTTAAATAAATTCATGGCAATCAAAATACCTAAATAAATATTAGTCAATTAAAAAATTTAGTTCCTATGTTGATAGGTCAGATACCTTTCTTATATTTTATTACATTGATACCTACTTTCTTTCAGATTGTGGCTGTAGGAAATTTTTAACTTAAGGTTGTACAAATTACATAATATTAGTTATAGGTACCTATACGTAGTATTAAGAATCAAGTATATATTATTTATTAGCTACCTATACTCTGTACCAAATAAGAGCGCACCGCGTTGGCGCATCCAAATGAATCGCGGAGCGACGTCTGGACCCCCTGGTCGGGTCTATTCGCTCTGTGATTGGTCGCCGATCGTCGGTTGGATTCGCCGCCGTCGACGCCGCCGTGAATACAGGGAGCTGAAGTTATAATGCGTTTCACGCGTATTAATCAGTAAAATAATACACATACTTTTCGTTTTTTTTTTTCTTAACATAGGTATTGAACTCAATGTAATATTAAAAACATTCAAAATATTCACCAATGCGCCCAAAAAATATAACAACGTCTAACCGCGTATACCGTTAAAATTGGTGTGATAGTATACAACACTCTGTATTCAGAGTTGACCTGGCCGGCGCCGGAATACGCTGCGGCAGCGCTCTCTGACATGCGCGAGTTTCGACCGGGTTTCGTGCGCCGCCCGGTGCGCTCTTATTTGGTACAGAGTATAGTATAAAGTAATTAATTTTATTTAAATTGAAATAAATATAAAAAAGTCTATACATTATAATAATAAGTAATTGCTTAGGTAATATGTACCTAAGTAGGTATATATTAATTTTCTTTATTTAGACTCATAAAATAGGTACCTACCGACAGAAACTACAAGATTTTATGTAGATAGATATTTATTTTAAGATGATGCTACACCAGTTGCCCGTCTTATACATGTGTAACAAAAAATATCATCAAAATACCTATGTTAATTTTTCAGAATCAATTGTGTAATGCTTGTTTTAATACTGGATGAGTGAATTGATCTATTTTCAAACTCAAAGGTAATAACATAATCAATACCCTAGCATCGTTTTTTTTATATTTTAATTTTCAAGTAACACATGAGTATGTGTAAATATATCACATAGAAAAATGCTTCGGTAACTACCTATCTCACTTAAAAAAAATATATATATAACAATCTAACGCTTAAGAACAGATAATATTCTTAACAGAATCCTTACCTTTCAATTTAGTTATAAGGTTCATTCACTTTAATGACAACACAATCGATTCTTTATAATGGACATTTTGTATGTTGTACCTACGCGTGTGTAAGATAGAGACAACATTAGGTAGGGGAATGTGGGGCAAAGTGGATAGGCGGGGCAAATTGAAAATCGCTCGTAAAAAAATAACATATATGAATTAAGAAATTAAAGTGTGCTTAATATTTTGTTTTTATATATATACTCTTTGGAAAAATGATATACTTCGTTTTAATTGTTATCATCAGTGTTATTATCAAAAATCTAATATTACCTTTGCGGCAATCTAAGCACTATCCCTGCGGAAATGGTATTTGAGGTTAGGCGAAAGAACTCAGAATGCCGACGTATTTTAAATAATTGTTTAATTTTATTTGGTTACAGTAACATGTATAAAGGTTGCATTACTATGACACGTATAAGTAAGTATAGTTAAAATAAATGACACAAAAGAAATTCTTTACTATAATCGCGGACAATAGTGAGCGCGGAGCGGCGTGAACGTAACGGTAGACGGGCACCGTGAGAGACTGAGACAGTGAGTGTGGTGACGACCGCTGGTACGACTGCTGCTACGACCGCTGGGGAACAGATGACAGTATGTGGGACAACCGTCGCCACACCTTCAATGATGTAAAAATTGTCGTTATCAGAAATTTGATTTTTTCTAATTAATTAATAAATTTTCCAACAACGTTTTTTGCAGAACTCAAGGTAAGGATATTAATTTTGTAATACTTAATTCAGTTTTTAGTTTTGTTTATATGATTTAATGTAATAAAATTATAACGAAAAAATAGTTCGTCGGGGCAAAGTGAATTCAAGAAAATCACTTTGCCCCATCATAAAAACATGCTTTAAAATTTAAATAAGGTTACCTATCTACATAACTATAATCAACAACTTACATTATTTTTATTTGTTTAAACTAAATATTCTCAGTATTATGTGCATTTCTATATTATTATGTTGCATTTAAATTTTGTTATAGATGGTAAGAAATTATAAACGGAAAACAAATCAACAGAGTTGGAGTGCGCTGTCCATGCAAAAAGCATTGGAAAAAATATTAAAAGGAGACTTGAGCATCAAAGAAGCCTCAAAAGCATATAATGTTCCATATTCCATATTATACCGCAAACAAAAAACTGGAAAATCGCCCCAAGAAGCTGCAGTAAAATCACTTGGTCGGTTTAAAAAAGTATTTGATTACAATCACGAAACATTATTAAAAAATCATATTTTACTGATGGAAAAGAGATTATTTGGTTTGACTATCCTAGATCTGATATTGCTAGCATATTAGTATGCCATTGAGAATAATTTAAGCAACTGTTTTAACAATCAAAAGGAGATAGCTGGCAGAGATTGGGTATATAATTTTATGAAAAGAAATCCAGATTTATCCCTAAGACAACCTGAAAAGACTTCAGCAGCCAGAGCTTCAGCATTTAATAGAACAAATGTATCTAAGTTTTTTGATTTACTTGGAGAATTGATGTGTAAATATAATTTCACAGCTAGTAGAATATATAACTGCGATGAAACCGGAATGACCACAGTACCGAATAAACCAGCCAAAATAATATCACTAAAAGGAAAAAAAACAGGTGCCTAGATTACCACATACAAAATATAATAGGTACCTATTAACTTAATTATTTATTTATTATTTAGGTTGGATCATTATCATCTGCTGAAAGAGGCACGTTAGTTACTGCTGAAATTTGCATGAATGCAGCTGGTCAGTTTATACCACCACTTTTGATATTTCCAAGAACACGTTCACAAGATACGTTTAGTTCTGGATTGCCTCCTGATTCAATTGTTGTATGTCATCCGTCCGGGTGGATGCAAACTGAGATATTTTCCCCCACATGGTTAAATCATTTTATAAAGTATGTAAAACCGACGGCTGAAGATCCCGTTCTTCTTGTGTGTGATGGTCATTCAACTCATCGTGGGCTCAGAACCAAAAGGTGCTAAATCGATTTTTTCGAAAATCCACTTTTTTATATAAATGGGTTTATTGGTCAATGGTCTATAATCCAAACTCACATCCAACTTTTTAAGTACATTATTTAAGGAGTTATCCAGAACTAAAAGGTGCTAAATCGATCAAATTTACACTTTTGTTATTTGATAGCGATCTAGATAGCACCATTTGGTTCTTGAGAATAGTGTTAAAACCAAAAGGTTCTATCTATAAGAAGAAAAAAAATTAGTGATAACCAAAAAGTACTATCTCATATTCACTGTATTAACCATACAATAATAATATGATGGTACAATATTATTAATTATTGTACATTTTTATCAACAAAACAAAGATTTCTATAAATAATTTTAATAAATATACGGTACATTTACCTTAGTCCTTAGTCAATATTATTTTTATTTTGGTTTTATTTTAACGGTATGCCTCAACATTAATAATTCTGATCCAAGATCTTGTCAATTATTATCGTTATAATAGAAAAAAAATATGTTGTCATCGGGGTTACGAAACCGTACCAATAAGTTAATGAAGCTAGCAGAAAAACAAGTTGACATTAACAACAAGTAAGTACCTATAAAATAATACCTAATATATAATTTTGAATTAGGTATAGGTAATAGGTATTCATTTTAAGTGAGATATTTACCTAGGTACTTAAAATATTTTATAGATATAAATTATATTTAATATAATATTATCAATACATTTAATTAAAACATAATGTTTAATATTATTGCAAAGGCTTAAAATTGCTTTTACAAATTAATGCAGCTAATTGCTTAGTACCTACTTATGTTCATTTGATGGCATTATTACCATTTCAAATTTTAAAAGTAGGTAACCCCTTCTACAGGTACGGTCATGTATATAGGTTAGGTTAGGTATCTATTCTACTCAAGTGAAAAGCCAATGCCATGTCATTATTTATTATTTTGAGGTTGGTAACATCATAGTGAAAACATCCATTTAATTCAAAACCAAAAAGTTCTAACTAAGTGAAAAAAAAAAATATTAACAACCAAAAGGTTCTATCTGAAGAACTTTTTGTTTCTTAACGGAAATTTTTTACATTTTTGTTTTTCTTACGTTACATTTTGATTTTAAGAAAACTAAATCGCTAGTGTTAACTCAGAACAACTTTGTGAATTTTTAGATGTGTTAATCATTAAAAATCATTCATTACGAAAAAAGATAATGCAGTTTTAAGTTGAAAATAGTTTAAAATGGCTCTCCTGAACAATTTGATATTTTGAGATAGCACATTTTGGTTCTGAGCCCACGTCATGTCAAAAATATTGATTTTGTTACCCGAGCAAAAGATAATCTTATTCATGTTTTAATTTTACCTCCCCATACTTCTCACCGACTTCAACCTTTAGATGTCTCTTTCATGTTTCCATTAAGTGCCTACTATGAACAAGAAATTAAACGTTGGCTTAAAAACCATAGTGGTAAAATTGTAACAATAAAACAAGTTGGTGAATTGTTTGGTTTAGCATATCAAAGGGCAGCTACAATTCAAACAGCAGTAAATGGTTTTAAAACAACTGGCATTTGTCCATATAATCCTTACATTTTTCCCGATGATTTGTTTGAACCATCTGAGACAACAAATAAAACATTGGTAGACAATCAAACAACAATAAATCAAACACCAATAACATCATATCAGACTATCACAACTGAACATGTATCTGTTACACCAGAAGACATAATGCCTGTGGCTCATGTTGGATCTCGAACAATTGAAGAAGCTACAGCTCCAAAAAGGAAAAAAGGGAAAACTATGATTATTACAGATACTCCAAATTTGAAAGAACTGGAAAATAATTTACCTGTCATTAATAATCAAAAAAAGAAAGTTGTAAAGAAACGATTATTCATGTCAAAAGCTAAAATATCAAAACCCAGATCAATTTCATCTTTTGAAGATGATTTTGAACTTTTAAATGATACAAGCGATAATAATAGAAACATTGGAGCAGATGAAAATAACCAAATAAAAAAAACATTGAACTTGACTGGAAAATATATTGTTGCAAAATTCCAAGTAGATAAAACACTGAAGCATTTTGTTGGTATTGTATTAAATTCAAACCATGATGTTAAATTTTTGAGAAAATATAAGTCTAAGTTTGATAATTCTAACAAAATATTATTCATTTGGCCTAACGTGGAAGACATTTATAATGTTAAGAGTGAAGATGTGTGCATAATTTTACCAAAACCAACAGAAGATCGTAGAGGTAGATTAACTTTTAAAGGAGGTCTAACAGATAAATTTAACATTTGTTAATTTTTTTTAAATTGTGTTTATGTTTATTATTAGTCAAAAAGATTTTGACTATTTATTTTTTAAAAAAAGAACTGATATATTAAATTTTAAGTACAGTGTTTTTTATTATGTTTTACATGTAGTCAAAAGATATTGACTATATTTGAATGTTTAATATTAATATTAATGTTTATTTTATTTTTATGTTATTTATTTTATTACCTAGTCAAAAAGATCTTGACTGATAATATTTTTTGAAAGAACTGAATTATTAAGTTTTAAATGTTTTAATTTTAATTATGTTTACATGTAGTTAAAATATATTAAGTATATTTTTATGTTAAATATTAATAAAAAATATATATATTTTATTTGTTAATTTGTTACTAGTCAAAAAGATCTTGATTGTATTTTTTTTCTTAGGATTGGACATTAAGTTTTAATATTTTTGATTATGTTTTTATATTTAATAATAATTAGAAAATAAATTTTATATTATGTTGTTTTACTACTAGCCAAAGAGACTTTTTTGTTTATTTTTTTTTGTTCTTGTCTGTTTTTCATTTATAAAGAATTGACTTAGTAAGTTTTAAAATTGTTTTAATTTGTTATTGTTTTACATGTATTCCAAAGATATTTATTATATTTTTTATTTTACTGTTCAAAAAGATCTTGATTGGTTTATTTTTAAGGAACAGACTGATTAAGTTTTAAATATAATCAGAAGGCATTCAACATATTTTATGCTTATATATATTTGTAACATTATACACAGGTAATTTAAAACATTATTAAAATAATACAAATAATTTGCATATTATATTTATAGGTATATTTAATTGATAATATAAAAAATAATAAATAAAAGTGGTTTTGAGGTGTAGGTATTTACACCTATTTCACCTATTTTCCTTTTTTTTTTTTTGATACCTATTTTCTTTTATCAATACACATTTTCATTTTGCCCCATACACATTTCACTTTGCCCCATACACATTTTCACTTTGCCCCATACACATTTTTACTTTGCCCCCACTATGGGGCAAAGTGAAATTTTTTCCAAGTTTTAAAGAAAAATTAATTATTAAATATTGATTTACAATTAAAATACATAATTTTAGTCAATAAAACTACATTAAATTTGCGATTTAATGGTTTTAAATTCATCTATTTAAACTGATTATTGAGTATGTTATGATTATTCAAACATAAAGGTGTCCACTTTGCCCCACATTCCCCTACCGACTATAGTTCATTTTAAGAAGTGATTCAGGCGGCCAAATTCTGCGCATGGGTGTGGCCTCGCAGATATCGTTTGTCTTAATAATTACCGCCGACGGGAGCGACTCATAAGTCTAGAGTTTATTGCTTACGTGTACACATAATTTAAAATGTATGGCAACGACTCCGGTGCGGTGTGTTATCAGTTATCACGTATATGGTTCGCACGTCGACTTACCGCGCTATGTATTAAAATATTATACGAAAGAAAAACTATTAAAGTTTCCAAATATTTTACAACATTTTATTAATATTAATTAATTAGTTCATATGTCACATATTAATAAAAACAATGTACAAAAAGCTAATTAAAAAAAACTCAAACACTAACGTCAACAAAATAGGCAAATAAAAAAATTAAAAAAATTACAAAATACAAATTATTTACAGGTAGTGTTAAAATTTTTACAGGTATTTACAAATCAGAATCATCCGAAGATGTTTCATTTGAAATTGTCAATATACATGGATCTAATTGGTCGATGATGTCGTCCATAATGTCGTCAACTTTCATTATTTTCTCTTCTTCTTCTATAACGCGTCGAATGAAGTTTTCCCAGTTCTCTTTTGTTACTCATTCAATTGCCGTGTTCAGTAGCTTACGGACATCATCGAGTTTGTACGTTGTGTTGTTGGATTTTACATACTTTTTAACCATTGCCCATGCGAGTTCGATCGGATTGAACTCGCAATAGTAAGGTGGAAGTATAAGCACTGTATGGCCCGCGGCTTTTGCCATATTATCAATGATGTATGAAGAATACTTGCTTTTAATTTCACGTACCATCTGCAACAGTTCAGCCCTTTTCATCGGCCTCTCGAGTCTCGGGAATTGCGCCTTTTGAAATAAGCCAGTCCAAAATGTCGGCCTTTTCGGAATTTTATGTTGGTATTTTTTCCGCTTTGACTGAATGGTATGGCGCATTATCTAACACAATAATGAAATTTGGTTCAAGTCGAGGAAGAACAGACTCAAACCATTCTTGGAAACAATCACCATTCATTTCGTCGTGATAGTCTGAGATGTTCTTCTTCGACCTAATACATAACAATCCACCGGGCAAAAATCCATTATTAGATCCAATATGAACCACAATTAAGCGCTTGCCCTTACCGGTCGGATTTTTGGATCCCGTTTTAAGACCTTTATTGAATGCGTCCTGATTAGATGTGATTGTTGTATCCACCGATACATGCTCAACGCAGTCACCAGCATTCAACCAAGCCTCATCTAGGTAATAAACTGTACGACCTTCCTTACGGTACTTGCGTGTGTCGTACAAATAATAGTATAACACAAACGAAGACTGAACGAATAATTTTTATATTATTTGCAAATTGAATGGTTGTATGAGCCCGTATATTAGATTAGGTCGACACAGAGAGTGAAGCACAAATGCGAGGTTATAAGGTATGTGGCATGTGCCGACGTAAATCGTGCTGTATTGTCCAGCAGATGTTTGTATTTAACGGACACACATTCCAGGGAAGCGCCCCAAATGTGCGAATGTACGAATGACGCACGCACGCACGCACGCACATTCACAAAACGCAAGCTCGCACAGGTGGTAAAAACAGTGAGGTGGGGATCGGTTGGGCGTGACCTGTTCGCCGCCAACAAAAATTAGTCGCCGTCTGAATCGCTTCTTAAAATGAAAAGACTATACTTATAACATTTATTTAAACTATAAAATAATACTGTTTTAAATGTTAAATGTATATTAGAGTAGTATTAAAGACTTGACAGTGCATATAGTAGCCAGTAGGTAGGTAGGTAAATAAAAAAATAATTTTTATATGATTGATTTAACTTAAGGGTTTCGAGATCAAGTGACAAAATCGATTGTTTTCAAAATAAACAATTATGCTCATCCAATAAGCCGTAGCTAGTACATGTACAGTTATTACGTTTTACGATTAACCTCCCTAAAATACATTAATCCGTTAAACGGCCAAAACAGCGAAACAGCCAAATTATCTCAAGACGCTAAAATAGACATTTTATAATATTGTATTATTATACTAACCTTATAGAAATTGTGTATAATAATAATATATTAAACACAATTCACAATATTATGGTGGAGTTGAATTTTTTGAACATGTGGAATGTACAAATCTATGATGACCAAGGATATCACGCACAAGTCGACACGCTGGTCAGACTCTCAGACAATGGCGATGACAACGAAAAAACTAATAGGTACTTGGTAATTATAATTCATATAGTTGAAAAGTTAATAATTACCACAAACTGCACACAACTTGGTGACTTTGAACTCAATAATTGCGACGCACGAAAACGATAATAAAACCAGAGTATAGCATAAGAAAAACAAGTCGCAAATGGCATAAAGACGACAGTTGTACCTTGTACTAACTACTACTATAACATGATAAAATAACCAGGTATGTCAGCAACTTTGTGTGGCACACAAGATGGCGGCCGGTGTGCGCATGTTATCATTTTTTGCATTTGTAATTCTATAGTTGCACGAGACACACGTCTGCACTATACAGTGTTGTGATACATTTAATTTTTAATTTATTAATAATTTAATATATTTCTAAATACTGCAATGGATAACATTGTAACTCTTTATATGGGTTATAATTTACTAGTAAAAAAAAAAGAAAATAAACTGCAAAATCGAAAATTTTGGGTTCATCCCTTATTAAGTACCCGTCTATCAGAAGGCGCATTTCCAATAAATTTTCACGGTCTCAGGAGAGATCCAAGAAAATTTTTTAATTATTTCCGTATGACAGTTTCTGCATATGATGAACTACTTACAACATTCGTTGGACAAAAACTGACAAAACTGGATACAAATATGCGAAAATCTATCACTCCCGCTGAAAAATTAGCAGTCACTTTGAGGTAAATATAATATTTTTAATCTTTTTTTAGCAACAAATTTTACCATTTTATTAACAAATGAAAACAAGTAAAAATAAAGTTAAACAAAAAAAATTTAATCTTTGTAAAAATGGATATAACTGAAAAACATAACTTTTAAGTAAACAAAAACAACATTTTAACTTTTTTCAATTCAATATTTCATGAACTTTTCCTTAAATTAAGTCGATACGTGGATTCTGAGAATTAATAGCTATATAAGAAACTCGTTTATGAAGGAAGACTGTGACTCGGAACGTGAACGAGGCTGCGAATCTTCAGGAGATTCGATGTTTGTGTAGTTTGATGACGAAGGGGAAACAACACTCGAATGTTGTGTAGATATAGGTTGTATGACACTAAAATATTTTGATGTATCGTTCTGATTGGACACAATTGGTTGATGACTAGATGCATAATTTTGATGAGTTGAGCGGATTGGATAGTTAGGTGACCCCTGTGCAGATGTGTTGTGTTGAAAATTCATATGTTGTAATACAGTTTGATGTTGAATACTTGGACTATGTGAAGTTACAAATTGATTGTTATTTGGGTACATTCTATACGAAGGGCTTGCTTGATATAAATATTGTGGATGATGTGTGGGAAGTACTGACGCTGTGTGTTGTAGCTGGAGTGTTTCTGATGAAATTTGATTTTGTTTTATTGTTTGTGCAATTCTAAGTACTTCTGTTCTGAATATAAGTGTTTCGTCGTCATTAAATTTTCGTATAATGGGTAACAAAGAATGAAAAAAATGTTGATGTTCATCTGGTTTTTCATCAAAAATTTCTTTTTTAGTTTGTGCATCTAAATTTCTTATATAAATTTAAATAAATATATTATGTTATATTTATATAAATATAAATTTCTTTTCAAGATTTGTTTCTTTTTGTTTGTTTTGTTTTCTTTAATTTGATTGGATATTTTGTGACGTAGAACGTGGTTCAGCTTCAATTTCTGAAGGTTGAATTTCAGTTTCCTGCACATCAACTTCGGTGTTATCTAAATTAATAGAACTTGAAGTTTTTCTCGGAGTAATTGTGTTTATCAGGAATCTCATTTGTTCATGGTATAAATATTGTTTTTATATTTTTTTTTTTTGCGCCATCTCCTGATTTGGGCTTATCCTCTTTTAAGCTTCTAGTGAACGCATCTCTAAGATTCCTCCATTTCTTTTCTATGCTGTCTCCTATAATTAATTAATAATTTGAATATCGAATCTCAAATTACATATAACAATAAACTATTTAATATATACGACGATATAATATAATGCATTTAACTGTAACAGTGGTGGTATTTAAAATTTAGCTACTGATACATACTATATTATATTATTTAAATAATCTAAAAAATGTCAGAGTTCAAAAATTATATAAAAACATATAAAATTGCACTATCTATACTTTACCAGTAACACATATATAAATATATAATGTTTTATACATTTTAAAATTAAGACAACTTATTATTTAATATTTCAGATACCTTGGGTCTGGGTGTACATTCACAGATTTGCATTATTCCTACAAATTAGGAACATCAACAATTGCTCAGATTATTCGGGAAGTTTGTATTGTAATATGGGATGAACTAGTTGAAGTTGACATGCCTTCTTTTACAGATCAATATTGGCAAAATATTTCTACTGGTTTTGAACAACGAGTGAATTTCCCTAATTGCTTAGGAGCGGTGGACGGAAAACACATTCGTATAATTAAACCCACTGGAACTGGTAGTCAGCATTATAACTATAAACATTATTTCTCAATTGTCTTATTAGCAGTTGTGGATTCATACTATATGTTTATATATGTTGATGTGGGATCATTTGGGAAGGACTCCGACTCCACTATTTTCAAAAATTCATCGTTCGGAACTTTATTAGCCAATTAATCACTACATATTCCCAGACCATCTCAATTACCGAATACGAATGAAACTGTTCCATATGTATTTGTTGGCGATGAAGCTTTTGGTCTATCAAAAAACGTACTACGACCCTACGCAGGAAGGAATTTATCGGAATGTGCTTTCGGAATTTTATCAAATAAATGGAGGATTTTTCATAGACCTTTAAACGTTACCACAGATTTGGCGGTTGATATTACGAAAGCTTGTTGTGTATTGCATAATTATGTACGTGAAAAAAATGGATATGTTTTTCAAGACACGCTAACTATTGATGAGTTCAATGAAATTGAAAGACCTAATAACATCAACCGCGGAAGTAGATTCGCAAGTGACATAAGAAATACATTTGCAGATTACTTTCATACCATAGGAGCTATACCATGGCAATATGGAAAATAGTTAAGTTATAATAATTATTATTTTTCTAATTTTAAATATTACTTATTAGTTATTAATATCGATTTTTCCGCCATAATATAATTTTTGCTTAAATAGTTTAAGTATTGACTTAAAATAATATAATATAACTATTCTTATAATATAATAATAATATAATGCTGATGACATAAATATAAAATTATGAGAAATTATTAAATTGAATATTATATTATTACACAACGTTTAAATAAGAAATAAAATGTCAACTACTTACCAATTTGTTTTTGTTGCTGCCTAGAGATCTTATTGAAATCTGGATATAATAAAACACATATTTCTTCCCAAGCCGCTCTTTTTAAATTTCTATCTGAATATTGATCCAGGCTTTTATCCCAAAGAAGGGCTCTTGATTGGACTTCACTTATAAGTACATCTATATCTATATTTAAATTGTCGTCTGAAAATTCACAAATTTTCGGCGATGGCGTATTCGCTCGGCCAGAGCGGTTGCATTCATCGGAGGATGACATGGTACTGAGTTTGTTTTTTTGGTTTATCGAACGATAATGATCGTTCGTGTGTTTTAATCAATTTATTTCTGTACATTTCGATTGAGATATTTTAGTCGTACGATATTTTTATCGTCTGAAATATTAAAGTGCATCCGACAGTTTTCGAGGTGACGTACGATTATCTTATCGTACGACATTTTATCGTGATCGTGTGAACAGCTCTATTTATAAACATGTAAATTCAAATATCGTACGATAATATTTTCGTGCGATAAATTAATCGTACGATGAAATATCGCTCGTGTGTAACGGCCCTTAGGTATTGTCAGCGCACAGGTCGGGCCTATTTGGATTAGTTTTCTGCCGTGACTACCAATTATTACAACTTGCATATTTTATTATTTAAAAAATGTGTATTGTTTGGGTATTATGTTTTACTTATAATTAAAAAAAAACTTCATATAGGTACATAAAATGAATATAAGATATAATTTAATTATATATGTATTCTTATAATTATTAAACTTAGTTCGATGGTACCTATATATATTATATAATTTATAAAATAAAAATATTATTCTAATAGCTAAAAGATAATAATAATAATTTATGGTAAGAACATAAATTATTTTTAACGTAATATCTCAGGGTTCACTATTTCTTTCAACAAATGATTTTTATAAAAATCAACAAGTTGAGTTTCCATTTTATTTTTCCAAAACTCAGTATCGCGTTCTATTTTTTCTACAAAAATATCTGTAAAAAGAGTATTATATCGATTTATTATACAACAGTTATTAACGTTTTTTAATTATTTGTAAATATTGTAAATATTAAATACAAATTATAAAATTTTACCTTTCGGGGTCCATACTATAAAATAACACGAACTTTTATTGGCCACCCGAAGTTGACCCTGGACTTGATAGTAATAATTATAATTTTTTTTCAATTGCATGTTTCCATCTTGATCATTTATGAGAAATTTTATTTTATTCGCTAATAATCCTTCTTTGGGGGTCATGTCTTTAATACTATGCGGACATTTAATGTCCACAATATCATTATCTCCCACTAATCCATCTGGAGAACCCGCCAAAAAATTGTACTCTGCATCTACAAATAGTCCTGCTGGTAGAACTTTTAAATTATATTTTATTTCAAATTCCTCTTTTGCCATTGGTGCATATTGAATGCCATAACTAATAAAAAACAATTAGACATTTTAACAGTTAATTAATTTTATTTGAATATTAATTTAACCCTTTCAGACCCAGGGTACACTATGGTGTACCTTTTGTTTGATTTGATATTATTAATTAGCGGTTAGTATTAAATAAATGATAGTAGCATATATTGTAAGAAAAACTTCCGAGGAGTTCATAAATATCGATTAAACAGCTGTACGATTTATATTTATATTGATTTTGATAATTTTTCCCAAGAAAATGTAGATAAAATTCTGATAACGATATTTTGTTTTTATATATCATATTTTTTCCAAGAAATAATTATGGAACTAAATACATTTTTTTTCCGGTTAGAAATGTTGATAACACTGTGTTTAAAACAGTGGATAAGTATTAAATAATATTATTTACTCGTTGACGGCTGTTTGAATATAGGTACACTATGGTGTACCTTAGGTCTTCGTGCCTCGCGGTATAATATTGGTTCATGATCATGTTATTGCTCGCGCGTATTTTTTGATAACAGCCGGTGGCCGGCGGATGATTAATCAGCACGACATTTTTACTTTATTATTTTGTCGTGAACTATATTTAATATTTAATATGTCCCAATAATACTACTGATATTATTATAAAAATAATATGCTTCGTGACGAAGAGATTTTAGAATTATTAGGCGATGGAAACATATCGGAAATCGGAAGTCCAAGAAGTGAAACCGAAGAAATTGATTTTCTATTCGCAGAATTTGAAAATTTGTTAGATAATTTTGATGATGAAAATGAAGATTGTTTAATTGTGCAGGACGAAGAATGGATTCCACCACCATTAACTATAACAAGTAAACGTAACATAAAGTGGGCTCAAAAACCTTTCAATCAGCCAACTATCAAATTAGATGACTTAGAACAAAATAATAATATATTAGAATTAAAATCACCTTTACAATACTTTTCTGAGTATTTTGATGATGATGTTTTCGAAAATATGGCATATCATACTAACCTTTATGCGGTTCAAAAAGGTGTTACTAGATTCAAACCTACTGATATGTACGAAATGAAACGTTTAATCGGTATTCATATCATAATGGGTAATTTAAAATATCCACGTGTACGTTTGTACTGGCAAAAACATTTTGAAGTAAATTTAGTTACTCAAAATATGACCCGAGACAGGTTTTTTTCTTTGCGTAATAATTTACATATCATAGACAACAATGAAATTCCTAATGGAAACAAAGGCAAATTTATAAAAGTCAGGCCGTTGTATACTGTTCTCCAAAAAAAATGTAACAGTCTACCAATGGAAAGAAACTTGTGTGTCGATGAGCAGATGGTTCCCTTCAAAGGGCAACTATCTATTAAACAATATATAAAGGGAAAACCTATTAAATGGGGGGTAAAAGTTTTTCTATTATGTGGCGAAAGTGGAACGATTTATAATATTTTGCCGTTTCAAGGGTATTATGAATGTGACCAAGACTTAATAAAACACGTTGGTTCTGGAGCTACTGTTGTGTTGTATCTTACGCAAAACGTGAAGCCAAATCGACATTTTTTATTTTTTGATAATTTTTTTTCTTCATTTGGCTTATTTGAAAGATTACAACAACTTCAAATATATGCTGCTGGGACAATTCGAACAAATTGGTTTGCTAACCCACCATTGTTGAGTGACAAAGAAATGCGTAAACTGGGCAGAGGAGCCACATTCGAGGTAACAACAGATGTACCTGGTTGTAATATTGGCATTGTAAAATGGTTCGACAACAAAGCAGTCAATTTAGGATCAAATTTCATAGCGTCTGGAGAAGTAGGCCGTGTAACTCGTTGGGATAAAAAAAAAAACGGTTTGTTGATATTGAAAGGCCCGAAATAGTGAGGTTGTATAATAAATCGATGGGTGGTGTTGATAAATTAGATCAACTTATAAGTTATTATCGTATATTTATACGATCTAGAAAATGGACTCTGAGAATGATTATGCATGCATTCGATATGGCGATTTCTAATTGTTGGATACAATATAAAAAAGAAGCTGACATTTTGAAAGTACCAAAGAAAAAAATAATGGATTTATTGGATTTTCGAATGGAATTAGCTGAAAATTTAATTTTAGTCGGAAAACCCATTACTCCCAAAAGAAGAGTACGTCCATCAAGAGAGCAGCGAGAGCAGCTACCAATTCCAGGGCCACCGTTGAAGAAAAACAAAGTAGACGCTGTACAACCAACCAGAGAATTGTAATGGGATTACGCAATATCATGTATTTGCTCATAATAACAACCAGAATTGGGATTACGCAATATCATATATTTGCTCATAAAAACAACCAGGAATGCGACCACACCCAAAAGTGTTTTCGACTAAAGAATACCACTTTCATAATCGTGAGGTCAATATCAAGGACGACTGTACACGCGCCGCTCACTTCAAAGGACGCCGCCACCATATATATAGGGGACAGCGAGACAGCCAAAGTAGATGTACCAGAGCCGCCAAGACCGAGCGAGCCGTTTAGCCACCAGCCATTACACACGACTTACATGGAGATTATCGACTACTACAACGAGTCAACTCACGACGCTGCAATTCACCACGACTACATTATTTATTATTGATTTTAATAAATTACAATTGATTTATATTTAAATTGACTACATTTTATTGTAAAAGTGCAACAAGCTTTTGGATCCCTGAAGGGCAGCATGTAACACTGGTATTGGATTCTACAAAGGTAGGCAACCATCAAAGGCTACCGTCAACAAAGAAGAACTGTACACTCTTCCGAGAAGACAACTCCAAGAAGAACCATCAAAAATAAATAAGTCACGTCGCGGTACCAACAAATCCATCAGCATGTCATCAGCAACCAGGAACACAGCATTATTGTGAGTGAATAATTATTTAAATTTGTTACATAGACGTATGCAACATAATTAGGACATATTAGATAATTCTAAGTAGTTGACTATAAGTATAATGGTGTAAAACGTTTTAAATTTTATTGAGGGCATATTTTATTGATTATTATTGAAGTTTTATTGAATTTATTGAGGGCATATTTATTGATTATTGAAGTTTATTATTGAGGGCATGTTTTATTGAAGTTATTATTGATTATTAATGAAGTTTATTGATTTATTGAGGGCATTTTTATTATTGAAGTATTATTGAAGTTTATTGAATTTATTAAAGGGCATATTATTGAAGTTATTATTGTATTTATAGGGCATTGTTGATTATTATTATTATGAGTATTAACGTATTAAATAGGTAGCTAAGTAATTTATGGACAAAGAAGGTACATCTCCCTTGAACGTAGCTAATTCATTGTATGACACTAGTGTAGTAGAAGAAGCCCAGTTAGAAGCCCAGTTATTAGCCCAGAGAGAAGCCCTAGCCCATTTTGAAGCCCAACAGAAAGCCCAGTTGAATATTATAGTAGATACCCAGTTAGGAGATAGCGCAAGTAGAAACTCAAGTCCAGGAGTAATCACACGTAGCCAAGTTACAGATAGTTTTGAACATCAGTCATTAGTATTTTTTACCTATAACACGCACTAAAAAATGGCAGTAACCATAAGATTAGAAGACGCTTTTAAATTAATTCCACTATGCACAGGAATAGACGATATCTATCAATTCATAAATGCATGCGATATGGCAGTAAGTTTAGTCGACACAAATAGTGCACCAACACTAGTAAAATATATTACCACACGTTTAACGGGTAGAGCATTAGAAATGATTAAATACAAAAATGTATCGAAATGGCAGTTTATAAAAATTTATTTAACAGATGCATTTGAGGTAACAACCACGGCATCGTCGTTACAACTTCAATTAAATTCGATTAGAATGTATCATAATGAGGATGCAAATGATTATTGTCATAGAGTAGAGAAATTATATTATCAGTTATGTACCGTAAGCACATTAGGCAAAGAAGCTGCAGAAGCAAAAATTATATATGATATATTAAGGGAACAAACTCTAGCGATATTTATTAAAGGATTAGTAGAACCGATTAGAACAATAGTAAAATCTCGTAACCCCAAAACCCTGGAGATCGCGAAACAACTTGCTATGTCGGAACAGGTGGAACTAAGATTAGAACAGGAAAATAGGAACCATTATTCGAATATTCATTCACAAAATTATAACCAGCGCAGATCGAATTACGAAAATAGGAACAACTAAAACATTAGACCAAATAAACCTGTAAGGACAAATAATTATCCGCGAGCAAACAATTTTTCTCAACCAATCAATAGGCCAGCAATAAAATGCTATAATTGTAATGGTAATCATTATGCATCTCAATGTAGGAATAATACGAGACCTAGTTATGCGAGCAATGGCAATAACAACCGTCCACCTGATAGGAATAATTTTACGCAACCACTTACGAATTATAATATACAGGTAGTTACGTGTTCATACTGTAATCGAACTGGTCATAATAACGACTCGTGTTATAAAAAGAGAAACGATGAGAGTAGAAACGTTAATAATTCGGAAAACGAAAACGTGTCGAACGAGAGGCGCGGTACTCGTACGATAAACCAGATTATCGCGGAACAACCGACTCACGAATATTCCATATATTCTCAACCTTAGAAAATAATCATATAACATTTAATTCATTCGCCGCTAACACAAATCAATTACAAATACGTCACAAACCCGGAGTTCTAAATTCAAATGTAGATACTCTCACATGCATATATTCAATTCAGGAAATAAAAAACAAATCATACGAACAATATATCGAAAAGTTAGGAACACAAATTATCACAAATATTAATGTAAAAGAAACTATAGGTACACTAATAGATTCACAAAAAAAATATAATATAGTATCAGAAATTGCCAAGCAATATAATTTTAAAACAGGAACAAATTATCAATTAAAAAAACAATTTAGAAACGGTACAATATTGCCGACTAGTAAAGTAATAGGAGACACACCCTATTTCAAACAGGAAAACAGGTTTATAATATTCTTAGAAAGCATACATTTATCACTAATAAATTTAAAATCATTTTGTAAGGAAAACAATCTGAATAAATTAGCCATGGGCAAGATAGGCGATCACGATAATTTAGAAAGGAAAAAAAATAAGGTCAATGTTACAATACATATTTTGCAATACAGATATAGCAATAATTACATGTGCGAATGTAGAATATAGTGAAGAAGAAAAAGCAGTCATTTTATCACAATTTCACGACTCAAAACTAGGCGAACATTTAGGTGTGAATAAAACCATTAAGCGCAATAAAAAACAATTCTTATGGAAGGGTATGAAAGAAGACGTTAGAAAATATATAAAAAATTGTGCGTCATGTCAGGTTAATAAGGTATCAAATCGACACATAAAACAACCAATGGCTATTACATCCACTTCGTTTAAACCATTCGAAAAAATATTTATGGATATAGTAGGGCCCTTGCCGATTACACTGTCCAATAATGTATACATTTTAACGATGGAGGACGATTTGACACGTTACACTTTAGGAATTCCACTTCCTGACCAGAAGGCAAATACTGTTGAGGAAACTTTTGTTACACACTTCGTATGTGTACACGGTATACCAGAAACAATACTCACGGATCAAGGAACTAATTTCCTCTCGAAAACGTTTGCAAATGTTTGTAAAATATTAAAGATAGAAAAGGTTAACACAAGTTCATTCAAACCGCAGGGTAACCCCGTAGAACGCGCTCATAGGACTTTAGCCGAGTACTTACGGCATTATGTAGATAAGAATTTAAATAATTGGAATAATTTATTACCCTTTACATTCTTTGTATATAAGTCGACGGTACATACTTCTACTAATTTTCAACCATACGCATTAGTTTACAGATGTACATTGGAGGTATCGATTAACTCGAAGGCCAAACCTGAACCACGTTACAATTATGACGATTATATATTCAAAAAAAAAAAAGAGAAAATATTCAAATTTCGCATAAGATAGCTAGAGATCATTTAATTTAAAAAAAAAAAAATAATAAAATAAAAAGTAAGGAACGTTATGATAAAAATGAAAATCCACAAGAACTATACGTTAATTATTTAGTACTATTAAAAGATAATAATCATAGAACGAAACTCGACCCAATCTGGCTAGGACCGTACGGGTCACAGCAGTTATAGGGAACGAGAATGTAGCTATACAACGAGGCCGCAAGGTCATTACTGTACATAGAAATAACGTAAAAAAAAAAAAATATATTATAATGACGCACAAGTCAATTAATTTAAAAAAAAAATAGCAATAATAAAAATAATAAGTATATATAGCAATATTAAGTTAGAATAATTATATTAATTTTAGGAATAGAAATAGAACATTCATTTTGAAACCGGAGAAAGAAATAATAAATGGAAACCACGATACAACCAATTTAAAAAAAAAAAATAATAATAACAAATAAAATAAATACGATAAAAATAAATTTTAATTTTAGGAACAGACAAAGGAAATTCATTGTGGAACTAGGAAAGGCGATTGATTAAGAAATCCATGAAACAAATGAAGGGCTCCGTGCAACAACGAGACAAGTCCACTTTTTTAAAAAATGAGTTTTTCCATGGAAGAAATTCTATGGAAGAAATACTATATTTTGGTAGCAAAATCAGAAAAATCGCTTTATTATTTCCAAAGATATCTGAAACTGAATTCTTTCCCGCCAATATGGGTAAATGAGATAATGAATTTTGTTTTGCTTCTCCTGAACAATTGATAAAAATGGACTTGTCTTGTTGTTGCACGGAGCCCTTCAAATACTTTAGGACCGTAACACACGCCGAGGTGTTTAATAGGACATATTAATACCGCGAATAATTGTATGGAAGAACCATTTAATACTCTTGAAATAACGAAAATTACGCGAATTCTAACTCAAGTTATGTCATCAGATCCAGTGACACCCACATGTAAACGATTAATAGATTATATGAGATATTTGCACGATACTAGAGATATATCGGATTATGTAAGATGGTTTTAATTTTATAAGAATATAATAAGATATTTTAGTTTAATATAAATATAATTTGTACACAGTAATTTGTTATAGTACTAGCATCAATATCTATTATACTAATAATAGCAATTTATGTAATGATAAAATACAAGTATATCAGGATCACAGAAGTCACGGAATTACCCGTCAGAATAGTTAGATATAGGACACCCAATAGAAATGAATACGTACGAAATTATGA